TTATATATATATATATATATATATATATATATATATATATATATATATATATATATATATATATATATATATATATATATATAACACACACGTGCAAGAAAAATTATGCTAAAAAAGGTTAATGCTTAAAAATAGTTCTACATACTGACAGACACACACACATACATACATACACACATACACAAACATACACACACACACAAGTGTATGTGTGAATATATAAGTATAATTGTGTGTGTAGTATTATTAATTAGCCGTATGGAAACAAACAAGTTCTTTGTATTTGGCTAATTAATTTTACTGTTGTTATTATTATTATTTATTAGTTAATTTATTATTAATGTTGTTGTTGTTCGTTATTGTTGTTGTTGTTGTTTAGTTTCAATCGATATATTTGCACGGAGGGTAAATGTACGTTAGTGTGAGAAGAATGAATGAACGAACGAACGAACGAACGAACGAATGAATGAATGATAAACGAATGAACGAATGAATGAATAAGTGAATGAATGAAAAAACGAATGAACTTGCCAATAGATCAAAGCAATAATGAAAGCATTCTGAAAAATGAATTAATGTGTGAGTGAGAAAAAATAATCAAATAAAAGAATGAATGCATGAATGAATGTATGAATAAATTCATAAATACATAAAAGAGTGAACGAGTGAATGTTCATAGACGAATGAATGTATGTATGGAAAGATGGATGGATGAAATCATAAGTAAAAGAATGAAATGTCAAGGAAAAGTTTTACTAGTAGCATCTTTGGTAGTGATGATGATGGTGGTGATGATGATAACATTTTGCACAGGCTTTTCTTAGTACGTGCTGGTATAAACATGTATGTTTGTATGTATGTATGTATGTATGTATGTATGTATGTATGTATGTATGTATGTATGTATGTATGTATTTATGTATATTTGATTAGTCTTATTACATAATTATCTTTATCATTAGTTTTATATTAGTGTTAGCCAGGCTATTATTATTACTATTCTTTTTCTTCTTCTTCTGCTTTCATTATTATTATTATTATTATTATTATTATTATTATTATTATTATTATTCATCTTGTTTCGCCGTGTAACTTTACACCAAGAAATTCATTCCTAATGCATGTCTCAGGTATTTAAAAAATGTATTCCAGACAACTGCAACAACAACAACATCAACAACAACATCAACAACCGCAACATCATCAACAACAACAACAACCGCAACATCATCAACATCAACATCATCATCAACAACATCAACAACAACATCATCAACATCATCATCAGCAACATCAACAACAACATCAAAAACACAACAACCACAACAACCACGACAACATCATCAACAACAACAACACAACAACCGCAACAACATCATCACCACCACAACAACAACAACAGCGACACAACCACAACAAAAACAACAACAACATCAACAACACCAATTATGAAAGTTATTATTGATAATATTATAACTCTGGTACGTTTCAATTATCTTCTACTCACATTTTATTGTAAAAAATAAAGTTAGAATAATAGGCGAGCCATCAAACATGCCGAATCATCATTTTTATTATTATTATTATTATTATTATTCCTGTTATTGTTCTGAAGATGAATATGAACAGCGATTCTGAAGACATTTAAGTTGTCGTTTTTGAGTTGACCATGATGATGATGATGATGATGATGGGGACGACGACGATGGTGATAGTTAGGACGGTGATGATAGTTATGATGGTGGTGGTGATGATGATGGTGGTGGTGATTATGATCGCTGTTATTGTTTGAATTTAAAATTTCAAATGTATTCAAACACCGGCTGGCATTTGCACTTGTGAACATAGAGGCCTAGTTCTGCTCGATGGATGTATTTATAAATCTACGTTTTCATGTCTATGTTTTTTTTCTTACTTTTTTGTCTATGTTTGCTGTTGTTGTTGATGTTGTTGTTATTGTTGTTGTTGAGGATGGTGTCACTAATGTTGCTGGGGTTCTTAATGGTGATATTGATGTTGTTTGTTGTTGCTGCTGCTGCTGGCGATGCCGATGGTAAGGTTTTTATTGTTATTATCGTTGTTGTTGTTGTTGTTGTTACTTGTGATGTGGTTGTTGTTGTTGTTATTTTTCTTCTTTTTATTTATAATTTTAATATTGTTGTTGTTGTTGTTGTTGCAGTTGTTGGCATTGCTGTGAACGAAGACGTCAGCACTTCGTTTGTCCTCACCCCAACCACCATCATCATCATCAGCACCGATGACATCAATTTCATCATTACCACAACCTTCCCTGCCATCTAGCCCACCATTCTCTCTACCGAAATTCTCAACAGCATCACTAACATTATTAAAGTCACCACCATCATCAATATCAGTACCTCTATCACCACCACCATCATCATTATCAGCATCTCTATCACCACCACCATCATCACTATCAGCAACTCCATCACCGTCATCATTACCAACACCACCACCATCATTATTAGCGTTATTATCA